TTGTACACTTAAGCAAAGTACAGCAGAATTCTAAAACGTAAACATAAGCAAGTGACATGTAAAGGAACTGAAGAGACTTGTTTTCTCATGTAGTCAAGGACATGAGTCAGTGTGTAAGCCACAGGTGGCACACAGGACCTTTCTGTGCAGATAGGTGGTACAGAAGGTAGGGTGAACCCCACCAATCTCCATTAAGAGCAGGCCAGGAATCCATGAAACCCTTCACATGGCAGCACAACTAGATTTTAGTTTTTCATGGATGGAATTTGATTCTAAAACAACAACAAAGAAAAATTAGGAAAATCTGCTTTGATTATGAGAAGTACAATCCCTTTTCATGGACTTTCACTAACTTTGTACATTCACATATGTATACCTTTTTGTGGCATACATAAAACACAGGGGCTTATAAACCTAAATTATGTTAAATAATTAATGCATTCATAGTTTCCCTTAGGCATGGTCTAGTATATCCAGTGGGTAGCCATAAATTAAGTGTTTAGTACCAGCGAGAGATGGCTCAGTGGTTAAGAGCACTGGCTGCTCTCACATAGAGCTGGGGGCCAGGGTGCAGTTCCCAGTACATACACAGCAGCTTACAGCCGTCTGCATCTCCAGTATCAGGGGCCCCAACACCCTCTTCTGGCCTTTATAGGCACGTCATGCACATGTGCACATACACACATGAAGCAAAACACTCACATGTAAAACTGAAAAAGCTTTCGGTTATCTCAAGAGCTAACCAATGCAGTGTTATAATAGAGCTTACCAGATCGTGATCCAGCTTGAGTAAGTGTGAGTTTATAGTCTTTTTGTTGTTCCTGTTGTTTTAGACAGGGTTTCTGTGTGACATGGTGGGTTTTTTTTGAGTGGTATTTAGTTCAGTCTTTATCTTCCAGGAGAACTTGTGTGGCAGCCAAACAGCATCATCACTGTGCTTTCTCCTTTCTCTTCCAGGAAGCCGTTTGTGACGTTTTAATTGACTGGTTACTTAGTCTGAGGCAGGGCTCTTGCCGTGTGCTTAGGCAGGCCTGGGACTCATCATATTCCTGCCTCACCCTCCCAGTACAGTTTGTATCTTCTTAAGTCTTGGTGGGCTTTTCAGCTGTTTCCAGTTCTTTTGCTATTATAAACATTGTTAAGTGCATCTTTTCCAGCTCAGTCTTCATGCTCAAGTTGATTTAATAGAGTGAAGTCCTGGTGTGTGATCTGTCTTAATAAGTACAGGATTTTTCTATTGGATTGTGTGTAGTAGGGTCCTACTTTTTAAGATATTTAATTTATATGTTGCCAAATGCTCAGAATATTTGTGCTAGTTTCTACTGCAAATATCCAGAGTTTATTCTTGTGTTGTAGCCATGTTTTCAGGTACTCTTAGGCTCTGGAGATGGCTCAAGGCACTGGCTACATAAGCCTCATAACCTGAGTGTGGTTCTCAGAACCCACATAAAGGTAGGAGGAGAGAACTGGCTCTACAAAGTTGTTCTGTTCAAATGTGTGTTATGGCATCCGTGTACTGCTCTACCTACACACACACACACACCCCCACCCACGGGCTGGAGAGATGCATCCATGATGAGGAGCACAAGCTGCTTTGGCAGAGGATCTGGGTTCCTAACAGCCATGTTGGGTTGCCCACAAGTGCCTGTAACTCCAGCTCCCAGGGATATGTCAGCCTCCCTTGCCCTCTCTGGGCACTGCATTCACGCCGTATAGGCCCACAGCCAGGCCATACACATTATTCAAAATTAAAATAAAATATAAAAATAATAAAATAAGTCAACACATCCTTTATCACAATGTTTTGTGTTGATCCACTGTTTACATTTCTTTCTGTTATGTTTTGAAATGATTTGCCTGTCATGTCAGGTGCTCTCTTCCTCCTTGCAGAGCCTGTAATTGCTTCTGCTGCATGAAATTCTCAGGATATTTATAAATGAATGAGTGGACTTGTTGGTGGATGTTTTGGATGCTCATAAGAGATTCCTGCAATATTTCAGTTTATTATGACCTGTCTAAAATATTAAAAAAAATTAAGTAGAAGAGAGACTGTGAGAGGGAAGAAAGGGGTCTGAAGAGAGGAAGATGATGAAGAAAGACAAAAAATTGTGTGTTTGCTCTCATTGGTGGACTACACACACACACACACACACACACACACACGCACACTTAAAAAACCTTTTTATTGGTTCTTTGTGAATCTCACATCATGCACCCCAGTTCCATTCATCTGCCCCTTTCCTAATACCTGCCTTCTACCCTTGCACCCCCCCCCCCAAAAAAAAAAGAGAAAAAAAATCTCTCTGTGGAAGCTGTAGTGTGACAGTGTATTCCACAGTATACCCTTTTGACCACACTTCTTTGCTGCAAATGTTCATTGCAATGACTCATTGGTTTGGTACGAGGCCTCTGGCTTCTGCTACTCTATCAAAACTGGAACCTCACTGGAACTCCTCTTGGATATCCTGTTGTTGCCCTGTGTCATGGAGATCCTGTAGTTTTGGATCTGTAGGAAGGACCAGCTCCTTCATGCACTTAGCAGCTCATCAATGGGATAGATGTTGGAGTGGGCCAACTCAAAACCTTGGGTCTGGGCCTGAGAGGTATCTGAGCTGGTCAGCCTGGCTGGCTCTCCCACTCTCATCCCCTTGGGCCCAACTCACCAGCAGCCCCCACAACCAGGGCCTGCTCTCTTGAGTGCTGCAGTAGGAGGCATGGTCAATTCTCCCACTCTAATGACCTTGGGGCCAGCTCTCCTGCCACTGGAGGAGGGGAGGGGATTTCTCCCTTGTCCTCATCACCTACACAGCAGAAAAGAGCCAGAGCTGGCTCTCCCACACTCATGCCTGGGGGGCCAGCTCACCTGAAACCCCCACATCTAGGGCCAGAATCACTGTGCTGCCCAGGTAAGGTGCAGGGCCTGCGTTCTTCTCATAACCTCAGTTCTTCCTGCTTGCCGTGTTTGGCAAGGGTGAGGGTGGGGAGAACGTCTCTGCCTTGCCCATGCTATTGCATGTAGACAAGCTGTGGGGGCCAGCTCTCCAACACTCATGCTCTCAGGGCCAGTTCATCTGCACCCTCCTCCCTCCCTACCCCCAACCCGGGCTAGCTCTACTGTGCTGCTCAGGTGAGATGCAGGTCCCACTCTCCCGAGTGCTGAAGCTGGTGAGGGGCAGGTAAAGCTCTCCTGCTCTCATGACTCCAGAGCCAGGTCTCCTGCCTGCTGTAGTTGGTGAGGGGCAAAAGGGAGGAGGTGTCTCTCTTTCTTGTCCATGCTACCACGAGGGAGATGACTAATAGGGCCAACTCTCCCATGCTCATTTCCACATCGTTGGTGTCATTCTGCATCTCCCAGAAGGCCTGGACACAGAGTGAGAAGATGTTCGGTTTAGCTGAGAGTGTGGGAGAAAAGGTTTCCCCACAGAAAGTACTGTAGCTATCTTACAACAGTCTTGCTAGCAGCAGCAGGTTACAGCTCTTTTAGCTGAGCTACTGTCCCCAGGTCAGGCAGGAGTAGGGAGCTTGGAACCTCAACGCAGCCAAGCCGAGAGGTTTCAGGAGCCTTACTAGGCAAATCTAGTGGCTGTGTTAGGAACAGCCAACAACCGCAAGATTCAAGCCTACCCCCGGCAGTGGCAGGAGCTGTGCCCCAAGTAAGCCTGGCTAGGTCGGCGAATTCGAAGGTTCAGTGATGAAGCAGCAAGCCTCAGACGGTCAGGGTGGAGGAGTGGGTGAGAGTGAGCACTTAGTTGTAAATCAGGGACATTATAAACCTTGGGCACTGGGAGGGATGTTGGGGTGAATGTGTTTGATTTGATGGGGCTGGGAGTGGGATACTTCATTTACATGCAGGAACACAGTCCTATCATAAGAAAGGGAATTAATTATCGTATGGGCAGTGGGAGTTGGAGAGAGAACTCTAGGTATCGTTAGAAGAGTGGAAAAAGGTCATTGGTTGAAAGCTAAGGTACCAAGATGTCTCATTAGCATGGTGGGCATTTCTAGGAAACCCCAGGTTTCCTGTAAGCTCCCTGAGGGCAATGTGACAGTCCTTAGAGGATCTGGGGTTTCCCCAGATGAGGTGGAAAGGAAGGAACGCAGCTGAGGAAGGGAGTCTTCACTTGTCACCAAAGGGGCTTCTGGTAATGCCAGTCTTTGACCTTACCAGCAGGGTACAACACTTGGGCTGGCTTACCTGCGACTCCCGCAATGTCTGGGGCTGCTCTCCCAAGTACTGTAGTTGTCTAGGGGCCGGGGCAGCTCTCCTGCTCTCCTGCTCCCAGGGCCAGCTCTTCCATGATGCCCAAGTAGGGCCATTTCTGCACAGCTCTCAGACATTATGTCCTTAGGTGCAGCCCAGACCAAGGATGTCTGCCTGGCCTTTGGTGGTAACAGACTTCTGCTGCTGTAGGACCACGGACCAAGATCTGGGCCCCAGGGGCAGCACAGGGCTGACCCCCACCATGGTTCCAGGTGGCATCACTGGCTATTCCCATCAGGCTGTTTCTCACTACCTTCCAGTTCTGCCTCTCTTCATTGTGCCCACATCCTTTTCTTTCTACTTCTCCACCACTTACTTGCTCCTCCTAGTAGTGCCCAGGGCTCTCTGAGTGTCTGGGGTTGTCTCAGGATTGGTCTCAGGAGAGCTATATGCCAGTCATACATATATGAGCCTGGCAGGGGTCATCTCGGGCATGGTCTGCTCCCCCACCCAGGCCTGCACAGTACCACACTGGTGGTCATCTCAGGCTAACTCCCTGTCTGGGCCCCATGCCACTGGTCTGATGGTCATCTCGGGCTCATCTCCAACCCACCTTAGTGGTCCTGTGTGATAGTTGTTTGTCTGGGGCTCACTCCTGTCTGTCCAAGGTGGGGTTCTTCTAGTCTCTGGCTTGCTTCCCATCCTGGGAGCCCATCCATCTGGGCCTTTGCAGTGCTGGGCTGGCGGTCATCTCAGGCTAGCTTTCTGTCCAGGTCCCCTGGTACCAGACTGACCGTCATCTGTTAGGTTACTAATCATTCAGATGTTCATAGGTTAGAACATTGAGTGTGAACATAGCCTTTCTCCTCCCTGCCATTTACTGACACATATGTGTCACAGCAGCCACGCCTGTAGTGCCTCCAGGGGCACCACTCATGTATATTTGTATAGGACATGAAACAGGAGGAATTTTGTTTAGAGTTGGAAAGTGGTGTGGGGGCAAATGCAAGCAAAAGACAATGATAGATGAAAGAAAATGTCGTAATGACCACTTAAAAACAAGAGTAATTATAAAAATATTTTGAAAAGAATCGTATGGTATAATAGATAGGTGGACATAGTATTTGGGAGAAAGTATCTTACTTTAGTCTGGTGTGTCTCAATTATATAATCTTTATCTCACTGCAAGGCTGCCCCTAACATGAAGACTTGGGGCTTTTGCGTTGACACTTCACTAGTGAGAGGTTCTAGATTTGCTTGTAGTGAGAGAGCCACAGAAGCCAGAGTGAGGGCTTGTCTTAGGATTTGTGGTGCTGTGACAAAACAAACACTAAGGCCCAAATCGTCTTGGGGAAGAAAGGTAGAGAAGAAAGAAGGTGGATGGGCGTGGTGGGAGAGCGCTCGCTTGCTCTCGTGGAGCCTCTCTGATGTGCGTTGCTCTTGTTTTGTGCTCTGTCACCTAGTCTCATAGCAGTGGGGCACACAGTTCTCTTAGTGGGACAATAGAGTTCTGCTGAGTTATCATGGCTTGACCTCTTGTGTGGCCTCACTGATTCTTGGCACACTGCCGTCGGCTTTCTCAACATGCTCATGTTTTCTGAGAATGAAATGTAAACGAACAGGTAGAAGTAAAGAAAGACGGAGTGAGGCACACTTAGCTTTTAGGCTCCTCATGCAAGGCTTCTGTTTCTGTTTGCACAGTTCAGTTACTCACTTAGATACTTGCTTAGAGTCTCCCGCACGTGACACTTCAATGAGAGTTACTGCAGAGCCTGTCAGAAGGTCCCTGTTTCCTCTTGTCTTAATATAAATAGAATTGCCTTCTTTTCAAAAACAGCCCCCTTAAGTTAGTTTTTCAGAATTGGGATAGTGGATGATTAAAATGGGCTAGGATGGCTGGCAAAGACCCTCCCTATTCCCTGTGATTTACCAAACTGTTTTGTTTTCTCAGACGAACGGGGGGGTGCTCTTCCTATGTTGGAGTGCCAACAACTTGTGGCTCTTCTGAAGTTTGTGCTCGAGCCTCCACCACTAGAAGCCTTCCGTCCCCGGGACATCACCCCTCCAGACTGAAAAGGAGGTTAACAAGAGAACTAGAGGGCTGGAGATCTGGCCTCCATCTTTCGCTAAAAGCAGCTCTGTTGTATTGTGTACTTGGTAAGCACAGAGCTGCACAGCCATCGCTAGCTAAAGAAGTCTGTACCTTTCAGCTGCAGATCCACCTGCTTTGTCTCCATCCCGCCCAGTCCTGAGTTAGCACCCATCTGCCTCTCTCAGCATGTGTTGACTGGTTCGGGCATTTTACATGCTTCAGTCATACATGATCAGCGCTGGCTGCTTCCACTAGCACCACGTTCTCAAGTTTCAGACATGACACAGTGTGAGCTGTTCTCCACTCTTTCGTGTGGCTGAGAAATGTTCCACCTAATCACGTACTGTAGTTTATCCCTTCAGCAGTGGGCTGTTGGGAGTAATGCGGCTATGGCCATTTGTGCACTAGTTTTGTATGGGTCTGTTTTGATTTTTCTAGTGTATATTCACCTAGGAGTGGAATTGGTAATCACTTGTTCTGTGTGGCCACACTGTTGAGGGTTCTCATCAGCAGTGTGGAGGGTTCTGATTTCTCTGCATCCTTGTCAACACTTATCCAACCTTTTGGACTGTCCTCCTGGATGTTTTTGATCAACATTTCTTGTGCATCATATCGTTGTGCCTTTTGGACAGGTCTCATCAATTCTACGACTTGCAAACGTTTCTGTTTCCTGCCTTATATTTGCTTTGTTACCTTCTCATTTGTAATTTCACAGAAGCTTTTGCATTTTGAAGATGATAGTTTATCAGTTTCTTGGTCTTTGTTTCTATGGCAAGGGATTTTGTACTAGTAATATTCCATTGCTGCATCTAAGGTCTTACAGAGGCAGTCCCATTTCCTGTTAAATGTCTTAGCTCTTACACTTCATTGGTCTATTTCAAGTTCATTGCCTCTGCTCCAGTTCGTTCCTGTTCCTATGGCTGCTGTCCGTGCACTGTCTGCTGAGTACTTTCCTCTGAATGATGGCAATCATTGAAACTGAACCTAGTTGGCTGTTGGAATGGAGGTTTATCTCCATATTTCCATTCTGTTTCATTGATCATACATCTGGATTCACTGTCTAGCCATTTCTTTGTGAGTTAATACCACGCTGGTTAATCACAAAGCTTTGTGGGAAGCTGTGAAAGTAGGGAAGGAAATCCTTAGGTTTTTTGGTGGCTTTCCACGATTGCTTTGGTCTCCCTTATCCACGTGAACATGGAACATATGGCAGTCTCGTCACAGTATGTCTCAGGGCATATCTGCCTCAGTGAAGGTCCTGTGTGCACCAAGAGAGAGGACAAGATGACAGAGTGTAGAGATTAACTACCTTGGTATTAAGCTGCAAAGAGATGGTGAGATTTAGTGCATGTGTAATTACCTTCTAAGGGGTATTTATTACTATAACGGAAAGTAAAATTTCAGATAGGCGTTAGAATTACATAGTGGTTTTTGTGACAAGCACATGAACTGTTAAAGGATTATTTTTCTTTGGGAGCCATCTGTATTTGAGAAATATGACCCTTTTATAGTTGGGTATTTTAAATGATGTCAGTTTTTCCTGTTAAATTCTAAGTTTAGATATTTTGTAATCTTCCTTAAAAACTAAATCTTCAAAGAATCTCTGTGCTATCATGCATAACTGGGGCCAGGGCCAGAATGAGGTTAATCGATAACAACAAATTCGCTGAATTTGACTGTCTGTAAATATTTTCACTTCTAAAACTGGGAGATTCCCCCCCTTTTGTATCAACTTATTTATTTATTTATTTTTAATAAAATTGCCCATCTGTTTTGTTCCCTAAAGGAATCCCTATATGGTCCCTGTTATCAATGAAATATTTAGATTTGTTGTAGTTTGACTCTTTGTTCAGTATTGCTTTTTATTAAGTATAGTTAAGTAGTAAATTAAGTAGTGTTATTTTATTTTAACACATGAAAATGCATAGAACAACTTTCTGGATTATAAAGATATGGATGTACTGCTGTTTAGTGATATATAGTAAGCAGATCTAAGATAGAATAAATGTAAGCATAGAGTGCCTGCTTATGTCACTGAGAGCCAGGCAATGTAAGTCCTGAGACAGGAAGCAGACAGGGAACCTCTTTCTTCCTGGGTGCCTGTATCAGGCTGAGGTGCAGGGAAGGCAACCCCAGCCCAGGAGGGTGGAGGAGGCGCATTGCATTTTGGGGCTGGCAGTGGAGTTTGAGGGGGAAGGACTTGAGAGGAAGGGAGAATGCAGACAATGGCTCCTGGTGTCTGCAGGCCTCTGGACTCTGCAATAACAGACACACTTGTTGAGGGTAGGGACTGCTCAAGATGAGGCAGAGTCAGTCACTGAGGTGCTGGGAGTGGAATGTCCCTAGAGCCACATGAAAGAGCTGCTGCTGCATGCTGCTACATGGTGATGATGATGGAGAGTCTTTTATAATATAGACTTGGAGCCCCTGGCTTAGCAGTAGGGCCTACAACAGACTCCTACTAGAAAAAGTTTTCTCTACCACCAGCCTTAAGCAAACTTGAAAGGAAGCACGAGGAACAAAGGAAGTTAGAAATAACTTAGAACAGCCACCCTTCACCCCAAACTCTAAAGCACAGCAACAAAATCCAGATAACATTAACTTGATGACATCGCTGTCTAGTGAAGATGGCCAGTCACAGTGAGTGTGGCAGCGCATGCTGTAATCCCAGCATTAGGGAGGCTGAGGTCGGCAGCTCATCTTGGGCTATGTAGTAAGACCCAATCTTAACACAAAACCAAACAGAAACGTAAAACTAGTCTTTCCAGTAAGCAAGAAAATATGACTCACAGCCAGGGGAGAAGCTGCACTCAGTGGTGACAATCCCAGAAATGTAAAAAGTTATGGCAGTAGCTGGAAGTGCTGTCAGAATAGAGAATCATCTTTAAATAGCTAAAGAAAAGCATGAATTTTGAAACTTTAAAAAATAAAAAAGAAGGTTTTTGTAGAGCGGGCTGAGATGAAAGGGTTGTGACAGTGACAGCGACAGCCAGAGTAGGGTGGTCAGTGCATTCAGTAGACACAGCTCTGTGGCCTTGGAGCTGTAGAAACTGCGGATGTGGCACAGAGAGCGACCGGGAGGCACTGAACATGAGGCCCCGGAGGCATGTGCAGCTGAGTTCCAGAAACGGATAGCAAGGACAAACTGGGGCAGAAAAGACTAATGGCCGCCAGAAGTGTTTTCAACAAGGGCGTCACAAAGCCTAGGAGCCCCGCAAGCACAAGCCAGTTCCCATGAAGTTCCTGCATGGCCTGTGTTTTCAGTGTTTGTCAGTCTGAGGGAGGTTAGTGGCTTTCTCATTCATATCCTCATTCATGTGGCTTTCTTCCTGTATTCATGCCCCCGAGCTCCTTCACCAAATCAGCTTTTCTTCTGTTTCCTTAAAATCCTTCCTTCCGAAGACTTGTCTTTGTTATATTTAGCATGGCCTTAAAAGGATTGTAATTATCCTTAAATCAGTGGTTACTTAGGTCCCTGCTGACTTCCTTAATTTGCACCTTGAATGTGAGGAGGGCTACCCCATCTCAGACAGGGTTATAAAATATTGAAAATTATCTTATTTAGGGAAAGTCTTAACTTTCATGAGATTTTTTTTTCAAGTATAGAGTGTGTGCATGCCAGCAACTGTTGCATGAGCATCACGTTTGTGTTTGTTTTCTATCTGGCATCTATATCATCTTGTATGTTTCTAGGATGAGACCCTTTGAGAAGAGAATCTGCTCAATATTACCCACGTCAGTGCTTCTGAACTTTTTGCGCACCACAGACTGTTTCAGGATGTGATGAGAACTGTGAAGTAGAGTCAGAAAAATGACACAGGTACTGGTGAAGTGTGCAT